ATAGGAAAACGCCTCTGAAGCAAAATTGGCTCAAGATCTTCACACCCGTTGTGGAACACTTGAACCTTCAGATGCGTTTCAATGTTGATTCGAGCTGCGTGGAGATTCGCACGTATGAAGGCACTAAAGACAAGAACTCCATCCAGAAAGCTGCCGACTTTTTGCGAGCATTCATTTTAGGCTTTGAAGTGGAGGATGCTTTGGCTTTGATCAGGCTCGACGAGATGTTTTTAGAGACCTTTGAAATTCAAGATGGTACGTTTTTTGTTTATCTAAATAACATTTTTTTTCTAAAACTAACACTATTTTCTCTTCAACAGTAAAACCGCTGAAAGGCGACCACCTGTCCCGAGCGATCGGTCGCATTGCCGGCAAAGGCGGACGGATAAAGTTCACCATTGAGAACGTGACAAAGACGCGAATCGTCCTGGCCGACAGCAAGATCCACATTCTCGGCTCCTTCAACAATATCCGAGCTGCGAGAACCGCAATCTGCAACCTTATCCTCGGCAGTCCGCCGTCCAAAGTCTTTGGAAGCATGCGACAGCTGGCCAATCGTCTTATTGAGCAATTCTAAAGAAGTGCAGATCTTTTCCTTGTATATATTTATATCTGTGATTTACAGTCCTCTCAATAATCAATGATGATGACCTGCGCGCAACGAGACTGTGATGGTGGAGTGACCTAGGCTGAGGGTGATGATCCTCTTTTTGTAGTGGTGGTGGTGGTGGTAGCACCAGCAGCAATTGGTGTCACCTCGACTGTGTGCGTGTGTGTGTGCTCAGCGTGCTCGGTCAGCTGTGACCAGGTGTGTGCGTATGTGTCGCCTGTGCAGTGGAACTGGAAGGGAGGTGTCCCCCACACACTGTCCTTTCCTTTCAGCTCAATCTCCGATGCAAATGGGCAGCAGCCTGCAGTGGCAGCTGGTGGTGGTGGCGCCTGTTGCCCTCTCCCTCTCTCTCCTTCCTCTTCAGCAGTGGCTATCACTGGCTGGCTCACAAGCACTCTGTCCGTCGTTGCTGCTGTTCTGCTGCTGCTGCTGCGTCTCTGGCGGCCTCTGAAGCACAAGCACGTCAACATCAACACACACACTCTCATATTCAGCAACAACAACTCCGAGTTTTGTGCTCATCTTGGAACATATCACCCTATTGTGTCTATTCTGCAGCCCACCACATCAGCATAGCCACTACTATCATCATCGACTTCTGCAGCAGCTCCCACCTCACCAACAACCACAACAATGCTGGAGCCAATTCGCCATATTCTGATGGCCCAGCGGAACGTGCTCGCTTCTACGAGTCCGCGTCGGCAGGAGATCCTCTCCAGTGTGAAGTTCAAGTTTGAGGTGATCAAGCCGGAGTTCGAGGAGGACCTCGACAAGAGCTCCTTCTCTCACCCTNGAGGTGATCAAACCAGAGTTCGAGGAGGACCTCGACAAGAGCTCCTTCTCTCACCCTTGCGAGTACGTGAAGGAGAACGCCAAGCAGAAGGCCCTATCAGTGTATCACCAGCTAGTGAAGGAGCAGCAAACGGCCGACCTGATAATTGGCTGCGATACCGTCGTCACCATAGGCGATAATGAAATCTTCGAGAAGCCGAGGAATGCACAGGAGGCCGCTGCCATGCTGTCCAGACTCAGTGGGCGTACGCACACTGTCTTCACCGGCGTTGCCCTGGTAACCACCAACAGCTGCCCGAAACCTAGCGGCGCTGAGGAAGAGGGGGAGGCGGCGAAGCCTACGTCAGCAGTCCAGCAGACTTCTGGTG